CCTTGGAAAAATTATTCTACTAGGGGGATCCAGGCCAGAAATTCAGACTACAACCAGCAGAAACCCCGTTCTGTAGTCATCACCATTGCCTTCTTGGTAGCACACTGGTCATGCTTAAGCATCAAACTCTGTGTCTCTGCGTTGCTGCAACATTGTCTAGTATTAATCCAGGCAGTCATGTACCATGTTTGATGTAATGATCCACACTTTCACACCACAGACACACAGCCAGAAAACCAAACACATTGATTTAGTGCTCAGTAATCCTTGTTTAATCCCCAGTCCTTTGGTTTACATCACTAACATGGCTCCTGTAGCAGTCAGTGTTCTATCTTTGCTCTTGGCAGACTGAATTAAGGGAAAGATTTATTAATTTGTAAGTTGGCTTTGTAGATGCATCTTAAATGTGTTAAAACCCAAAGCAGGCCAGAAGCAAGCATTGACTTAACTATAAAAATCTGCTCTTTAAAACTCAAACCTTTGCAACATTCCAAGTCAAGCTGCAGAGTAATTTATTGGCTTACTAAAGCAGTTGTATTGTATAGGGCTAAATTAAACAACTCTCATTGCAGGCCCTTGGCCCACTTCCTTTTTCACTCATTACTACAAACACAATTAATCTCCTCTTCCCTTGCTCATCTACACCCAGGTCTGCAGTGCCTTATGGCTCATGTACTGATCAGAGAAAGGCGTTGGAACGAATGGATTCATTTGCAAAACATGTTGGAGGGTCAGAGATCACCATTCATTGCAGTGGTGATAAATATTCCATGTAATTGCTGCACAAATGCTAGTGTTTGGGATTTATTTCTGTTAGTTTACGAATGCCGGTTGCTTTCCTCCCTCTCACAGCGCCAAAGATGGTGATTCTAGGGAGGAAGCCTTTTGTAATAATTTAGCTGTCATCACCTTCACTCCTGACTCCTTTAGGCCAGGTACAGGCTAGCCCTGTTCCTTTCTGGCAGGTGAGATTCCAGAGCTCACTTCAGCAGCTTAAGGTGGCTCTTCACTCCCAACCTTCCTGCTATCAACTCGGCTGCAACCTCAAGTGATAACCATGCTCACGGTGCAATTGCAAAGAGCGTTTTTCTTGGTTTTTTTACCCTAGAAAAAATTGTTGATTTCGCAGGTGCAATCAGACAAAACCAGCTGTATTTCACAGTCTGTAGAGATGTTGAGAGTTTGTATTGACTGTCCTTCCTGTTGGAAATCCTTCTACTTTGGGGAAGTCCAGGTCAGTTCCTTAAGCAAATAAACTTTTAGAAGACTTTGTAATTCACATTCAAACTACAGCATTTAGGCTCAACTCTAGATCAAACTAATGCTGTCTTGTTGCTAATTTCAAAGAAACTATAAAGTGAAAAAAATCAGTGTTTAAATCGAATCAGTGGTGATGTAAAGTGTTAATGGACTGATTGTTGCAATGTGCAAGTTTCACATGGGTAGTGCTTTGGTAATGGGAAGTAAATAAGTAGAGGATGCCACATGTAAGTGTAGGAATTCCTAAATATAGGAAGTATTCCTAAGTATAGGAAGCAGCTCTGCAACATGGGTCCTTCCTCTTGAAGCTGATGAAACTCTTTCCCCCCTGTGTCTGCCTGCTAGTAGGATTCCAGCTGCAGTTCATGCCCTCATTTTCAATTTACGCTTGCATGACTAAGTTTATTTTTAAATCTACCTAGTCAGACAAACAGAAATATTTAACCCCAGCAAAGGGCGGTAGTTGGATGTGAAGGCATGTTGTAATCATCCAAAAAACCCATTAGAAATCTATGAGTCTCCATCCTTACTTTAGACACCAATGTTGACAGTAAAAGAAATTTTTCAGATAAAATAAACTCGGGAGCTCCTGACTTTCAGGCTCTGATCTAATAGTACTCTTATTAAGACAAGGGATATTAATCCGTTCTTCCTAGTGATCTGCCACTGTGCCAATATCATAGTATTTCCATCAAAAGTTGTTTCCCACAGCGGATGTACGATGCACAGGCCTTCACTAAAGATGCATTTTGTGTACTGCTTTGGGATGCAAGGTCTAGAACCGCGTGGGGTGGCTGTGAGCCAGCCCCCAGCCACCTTGCCAGGAGCAGAAGCCAGGCTGCATCAATGCCTTGGAGCTTCATCATGTCCCTGCCGTGTTAGGTGCTCATAACTGGCGTTCAGAACCAAGTGGTGTGCTGAGCATGGAGCTGCTCCAAAATGCTGGAGAGGTTTGCACCTCAGTCCTCACTCGAGTCTTAAAACTGGCTTCTCACCTCTTACGCTGATGGCACAGCTGCCTTTATCTGTCAGGAGGATAAGAGGAAAGAGTGATTACTTCTCTGACAGGCCCAGGCTTGGCTCTTATTTCCTACAGTAACCATTTGCCCAAGATGGGTGAGCTCTGTGTTCCTTTTGCATTTCTGCTGGAGAAGCATTAAGCCTACAGCTCCATTCTGTGGAAATTGCCCAGTAGTGTCGGCTGCCATTTGCTGCCACGGAGAACTGGAATACTGGCATGCTCCAGGCCAGCCACCTACCTCCAGGGCCACTGCAGAGCAGCTCTCAATCCATTAGGAAAAGAGGGAAGAAGGAACTTTTAATAGCTGGGATGCGCAGCTGAGAGAGGAAACAGAGTGTGGGTTCACAACACAGGGACTGACTGTGTGTTAATGGTTGGGGTTTCTTTGGGGCGGGGGGAATGGAGTTGGTTGGTTTGGGATTTTGTTTTTTTTTTTGTGTGTGTGTTTTGGTTGGTTTGGTTGGTTTTGTGTGTGTTTTGGTTGGTTTGGTTGGTTTTGTGTGTGTTTTGGTTGGTTTGGTTGGTTTTGTGTGTGTTTTGGTTGGTTTGGTTGGTTTTGTGTGTGTTTTGGTTGGTTTTGTGTGTGTTTTGGTTGTTTTGGTTGGTTTTGTGTGTGTTTTGGTTGGTTTGGTTGGTTTTGTGTGTGTTTTGGTTGGTTTGTTGTTGTTGTGCTAAGCTGTGGCAGTTGCAGTGGTGCTCAGAAGCTACATTTTTCAGGTAGGCCAAAGGCATCTTTGGTTCCAGCCCTGACCAGTACCATGTCTGTTGTACGAAGAGTCTCAAGAAGGTTTTCCTGGCTTTGATCCATGCAAAATCCCAATAGCAGCTGTGCCTCTAACCCTGTACCTCAGAGTTGAAGCTGGGGATAACGGATACCTAGATCAGTGCTTGAGGAGATGCAGTGCTGGGTTTGGTTTTTCCAGCCTTCCAGGACAGTGCTCAACCATCAGCTTAACAAAGCTTTTTAGGGCATAGGCCATCATCAGCTCTCACTTCAAGGCTGTTGATTCTGAAGGTGTAGTGATTGCACAGGTTAAAGCACAGGGCAGGGCATTCTCCTGAGAAATGGAGACTTAGTTAATTAAACATTTAACTGATTTATTTATAATCTAAGTGGAGAAGAGACTAAAGTTGGGGTTAGGGGTCTTTAAAAATTAATTGATTGTGAGATTGTTCTCATACAGCACAATTTCACTCAGTTCTGTTTCAAGAGGCCCACACAGAAGGGACACACCAATCTCAAGGCTGCCCGACAGGCTTCATGTGTGGTGTAGGATGAGACAGGACAGCCAAAAGGAAAGCCTTTTGCAAACTCTATGATGGGTCCCTGGACCACACACAACAATGTTTTCCATATTTATTTGCTTATTTATCTATGTCAGTTCTGACATACTTTAGGAAATGGGAAAAAGAAGAAAAGGTTTCTTCCAGGAGTAGGTTGTGGATAAGGCCCCTGCCTCACTCCATAAGGCTGCTGGCTGGAGCCTCGTGTCCAGTGTAGGTGGCTCCTGGGTGGGGGGTGGATGATGGAGCACTTACTTACCATCTATGCAACTCTGTCTGGTAGATGTAATGAACACCAGCACCTCCCCTTGACTCGGGATCACTCAAAATTAGGCTTTAACTTTCAACTGCAATGTGATCCTCCATACAGCTACTGAACAGTAAAGAAATAATCAAAGAAATGCATTATTTAAAGTGTCATCACACTCCAAAATGTGTAAGGCCAAGTTTTATTTCTGAAAGCCTGGAAATAGTATCCTGTATCTGTGTCTAAATGGACAGAATGTCGGGCTTGATGCTTAAGACTTTTAGTCCAACAGTATTCTCTGCCTGTAAGGCACAGCTGGGTAGCAGACCCAGACCTTAATTTGCTTCTATGTTTTCCCTGAAATAATTTCTAAAGTCTTTTGATGTTGCTGTTCACTACAATTCTGGTGACTTTTTCTTTGATGATCAGCTTCGTACAGAGGCAGAAACAAGTATTTCCAGTGAAGTATCAACAGTGCATAGCCTGGACACAGAACACTTCAGGATGTAAAGCCGAGTTCTAGTTTCCAGGCCATCTCCTTTTCAACAAACCAGCCCTTGCTAACTGCAGTTGTAACTGCAGCTTTGTCAAGCAATACAACGGTGAGATGTCCATGAACACTTGTGTATGTCTATTGCTAAGAGATGGTGTATGGTTTAAAAGAATGCAAATGTTGCTTCATGATTCAAAAAGCCCCCTTCATTGGATGAATTTCAGCTTCCATGATTATAGAGCTGGCAAGTTAATGGAGCCATTCGCCCTGTGTGGATAAGGATTTATCCATGCAATTCCCCTAAATGTTAATGGGAGTTGTGTAGCTGAATCCCAGCCTTGCCATGCTGAAACCTACCCCTAACTCTCCAAGGAGAAGGGTGCTAATTGGATTGCTGAGTTTAAATCCTTCAGCTAGTCAGTCTGTGGAAAGGATTTAGCGCTGGCTCTGAAAGGCTTTACATAGCTTTGCAGTGCAGTGCAGGGGAAGATTTTTTTTTTACCCCTTTCTTTCTTGTGATTAATTGTGAAGGTCGAGGTGACAGGAGACATAATGAAATTCATAAATGCCAAAGGCCGTCCCTAGTCACATTCCTGGCTGTTGGTTTAAGTTAGAAACTGACAGAAGTGTGAACAAATCAAGGTTGTTCTGCTAGCCTTTCAGTTATGGGGAATAAAAAGTAACTGACAATGAGAAACCACTGGAGGTGGTTTAATGGGTATAAATTTTCAAGAACGAGTGACATTTTACACTGATTCAGATTTTTGGATACATAAATGCCTTACAGACTTTCCTGCCTATGGCAGGGGGTGTGAACTAGATGATGTTTGACGGTCTCTTCCAACCCCAACCATTCTGTGATCCTGTGCTCTATATTGTGCCCCCATGGCAGTCTGAGGGATTCCAGTCCTTTTTCACAAAAGAAGGTACTGGTACAAGTTATTTCAGCAACCTGCTAAAGACAAGCTGTTTTAAAGCCTGTAGCAGAACTCAAAGTGACTTGTTCTGTGTCTTCATTTGTGACTGGCTTTGCTGTGCATGTTACAGATTTTAAAAATCCATTTCCTCTCTGGAAAACTAAACTTGCAGCTTGAACAAGCAGCATAAGAATTAACCCAGAACTCTCACTTCAGCCTGGAAATAAATTCTACCACTTCTCCACATCCAGGTTTGAATTACAGTGTAAAGAATCCTTCACCAATCTTGTTTTCCTAGTCTCTGAAAGTGCAGAACACATCACGTTTGAGTATATATTGACCAGATACTGATGCGGTGATCTTTCGAGCCAGCTGCCAGTAGTCTCTCCCTGGGGTTTTTGTGGTTGGAGAAGGACACACAATGGACAGTTGCTGTATGATAGTCCAGCACTGCTAATGGCTTCAGTTTTTTCCAGCCAAATATCCTGATGCGATGATCCCACCCCGCTGTTGCTACAATCTTCTTGTCTGGACGGATGGTGATATCGGATATGCCAGCGTTGACAAGGTTGTGTGTTTTGTAAACCTGTGTGAGAAAGTTAAGAGGTGAGCTCTAACTGTTTAAAACAGAAGAAAAAGGAACCTGTGGGGATTTTAGAAGGTAGAGTGACCAGCAATATACACTGCTATCACACAGGTAGCAGGGAGCTTTTCACCACATGGCAGATGAAAAATTATAGACAGAGATGGAAAAGATCTCAATTTGATCCTATCTCCAGCAACATTCTCTAAAAATAATAGCATTGTGTGTATGTTTTTACTTTATACTGCATTTGAAGGTATTTATATTCTGTCACAAGTGAAGCTTAGAGTCAAGGTTTGAAAACCAGACTACACAGCTTTGCTTTTCAAGCTACTTTTCCATGAGCTGCAATGTTCAGTGCTATGGCCAGATATTTTCCCTGCCTTTGCAGTGTTTCCCATGCTGAGCTGATGTTAAACTACCTGCTACTTGTTTCTACTACTGTGGCCCCTCACAAAACCACCAATAAGCTGTGGTACCATTTACCACAGTCTTGAGAAAGGAATGCTTCCAGGAATTAGGTTACAGTGTCAGGAAATCTGTATTTCTAGTACTCCCTTCCCAAGAGACTTCTATTTACACCAAATTCCAAGAAGGGGATTATGACCAAGTTATTGATTTCAATCTTGGAAGCCTTTTGTTACTGTTTAGGGACTACTGGGCCACAAGTTTCTGAGGGGCACAATTAAATTGGAAGGCCTTTAGCTTCTTTCAGGAGGCACAGGAGCTGCACAAGACAGCCTTTAGAAATAAAAGTTTCCACTTCACTGACATAAGTTTCTCCTGAAGCTCAGTGTAATACACTTCTGCTGTGATCACCTCGTGTAACTTGTATTAGTCAGCAGTCTGCTGCCGAAGCATGGGCAGTGTGGGCACCAGTGTGCGTGCACCCATGTGTGCGTCTGTGTTGAAACAGCCCAGCTTTCGTCCCAGTGTGGAAGACACCTTTGGAGCATATGGACCTTGAAGTGCTGTTATTTATAAGCACAGCTGGAAATGACATGTTAATGCCACCATCTATTTCAGACTGAATCTGTAGCTATCTTGTACCAAAGCCTAATATAATTCAGTGCATGTTTTAATAAGCTGTGTGGTATTTGCTGTTTTTCTGAGGTGGGAAGGAACTGACAAGTATGTTTTACAGCTAAGTAGCTTTCCTTCTCAAAGGACAGTCCATGATGCATAGCTGGCACAGGGTTAAAAAGGATATATTACAGATCATTTAAACTATAATGCTGATGAGCAGTACGAGGCTGTATTTGGGCCTTTTTGTGGGGCTGCTACTGCAAAACCTGTACTTTTTGCTGGTATGTATGCTCCCCCGTTAGGCTACTGCAGTGTGGCTTCAGCAGGATTGTTGTTGGCGTATGCATATTGGCAAGGGATGGATTTCTTACTCACATCACCAGCCTGGCACATGTAAGTTGGGCCTTACTGTGTAACAGATTATTAGCTAATGGCTATAACCAATCTTGGGTGTGGTGCTTCCCATCATTACTGTCATTATGTGGGCAAGAGCCATACAGCAAAATCAGGGCGACTGGGAGAAATTGCATGTCATCAGCAAGCTACAGCTTGAAAGTGAAGCCTATAATGGTGATGCCTTTTGGCTATGGAACATAAGGGAACAGTGGGCATTTGTGCGTGATCTGCAAATACAAGAGGTGAGAGAGAAAAACAAAACAAAGCAGAACAACTTGCTCAAGGTATATGCAGCCAGATGAAATCCTAGTGCCAGGACTGGTGCCATCCAGTCACTTACGGGCAACTGCTGTAGTCAAATGCAAACCAACACAATTTCCTAACCAGAAAACCAGCTTGTAATTAAGAAAACAAAGAGGTAAAAACAGGTGAGCTACTTTAAGCCAGTCATGACCAAGGATACTTGCAACTACTAGCAGATGCACTGAGGTATTTTGACATGCTGAGGCCAACAGAAACACACCTCCTGTCCCCTCCTTAACACAGGCTAGCCAAGATTTTTCTTTTCCTTTTCTTTTTTAATCCTAAACGTCCCTCTCCTACACCCAAACGATGTCTTTAAGCCCTGTTCTTATAGGAAGAATAGCCAAGATAGCAGCAGCCTCAGCTCCAGCATTTGAAAGAAAAGCCTCAGCAACCTAACCACCAAAACTTGTACACTTACTTACATTGCTGCTTATAGTTTTTTCTTGTCATGTACAAAGGAGCTCCTGTGATTATCAGATTTCTCAGTTCTGCTTTGTTTATTCACCTGCAGAAGCTGTTTACCTCCTACATTATACCGCAAACATCATCACATAATTACACTATCTTGTCCAAATTAGAAGGCTCATAACCAATCCAGTCATTTGTTGACAGCGATGATTTCAGCAATTTTCTTGTAGAAGACAATACACCAAACTTTCCCCATAGCAATAAACTATGAAGTTACCTTCATCATCTATTCATTGACAAACTGGAACACTGCCATTTAAAACAGAGCTGAAGTACCATCATTGCATCATTATTTCTCCACCAGCAGATAGCTCTGCACCACAGTTACTTATTAAAACCTTTAGAATAAAAATAATGTGCCACTGAGTGGCTTTCCAACATCTACCATTACCTCAGGTACCTGGAATGTCAGGGAAAAAAATCCCCATCTGGTTTATATTATTAATGCAATAGTGGAAAAAAAACCTTAATCTATGTCCTTGACAATCTCTAGTGCTCGTATGAAAGATGCATTTTATTAGGGCAGTCATATTCTGTGTGAAGCACAGAAACATCACTTACAGTTTATAATACTTGGCATTTAAATTTATTCTGAGAAAAGCTACTATCACAGAGTGTGATGTGCTGAAGATGTAACTAATCCGACATCTCCTGGGAATGTGAATACCCTGTGGAAAACAATACCTGGAATATTTCAGGTGAAAACCTGTTTGTTTATTTTCCCCATGAGTCACACCTGTAGCCCTGCATTATGGGTAACTCATAACTGAAATGTGCTGTGGAGAACAGTATTTTCTCTGAATTTAGGAAAAAGCTTTGGTATAATTACTATGAAGGAATATATTAACACCAGAGTATGTGAAGCTTTAAGAAGCCTGTCATGATGTCAGGTTTCTGACACCTTGGCTTTAGAAGACTAGTCTCAATACCAAATTTCTTACTGGGACTTACCTGCTCACCTTTCTTCTGCTTCCTTGAGCTAAGGACACCGGGTGCAGATGTGTGCCAGTAGTGACAGAAAGGCTGGGGCAGGGGGAGGGAAAACATGACAAAAAAACACCCCAAACCCATGACAATTGTGTCTCAGACTTGTTAAAACTATCACATTGGCTTAGAATACCTTTGCTACTTACTCGGCATCTAGTGTGCCTCTTTTACTACATGTTGTATTGCTTATTAACATTCAGACATTCTCCTAGTGAGTGCTGTGTCCTCCAAACTTCATCTCAGTTGGATGCATTTACATTACATGTACTGAGATTTTAATGCCCTACCACTCCATATATGCTCGTTTAGGCTGTGAAGCCCAGCAGATTATACACCTTCACCACAGCCCCAGGGTGACAAGTCATTGGCTGCCCAAGCACTTGCTTTTCTTCCTGTAGCACCATTTGGAAACAGCATTAACTTGGCACACTGCCTAAAAAATGTCCAAAAAAAAGCTTCAAGAGTAACTACTGTTCTTTCATGGATTGGTGTATCCAGCAGTTGTCCTCTCAAGGATGGTATGGGGCATACAGGGAACTCTGCATTGTATGTTCCAGGGACAACTGCCGCTTAAAAAAGGGTAAAGCACTCAGCAGTGGAGAGGCTATGCATGGGCCATTTTAATTTTCATGAGCACTAATTTTTATTTATGCACTTCATTTCCACACCTAGTTAAAACTTACTTAACCCCGTGGCACTGTTGGAACACTCACTAATGTTGTCTAGATTAAGCAACATTTATTCAGTAGCATAGACTAAACTGGTGATCGTGAGACCTCTAAACCAGCCATTCTAGGTATGCAGAGCTCAAACACACACTGATATATCCAATGGACTGATTGTCTCTGTCTCTAGCTGAGGGTCTGAAGGTGCCAAAGGATGCTGGCTGTTAAACCTCACAGTGCTAGCTGTGCTAGCCTACTCTTTTTGTTTGTGAAATACGTCATGGAATATTTCTGTCTTTCCCACATTGGAAATAAAGCTCTAACCATTCAAGCAGAACCTTGGAAAATCAATCCTTTGTTTCTCATTTTTGTAACTCATTTATAATGTTTAGGACATTCTGAGAGCTGAATACTACTAACGTGATAAATGAAGATACAGAGGCAATGGCTTGAGTAATGCTGGGCTTGTGTGCCTGTTGCAACTTTGGTAAAACCAGAAACATGTGAGACAGGGGTTTTTTGCCTTTTTTTTTAAATCCTCACCATCTTGTGCTAAGTCCAGTCACATAGCACAGACATTCTAACCAGTCTGTGATTAATTAGCTAGAGATCTGCAACAACTCTTCTTCATGACTAAATATTTTTTTAGTCTATCAAACTGTTAGTGCAAAGTGGGATAAATGACACTAGAGGGCCAATGATCCTGACCTGGAGGTTCTGTTGCTCATTGAGGCTCCAGATGCTAAGCACCTTTTCAGATGAGCCCGAGATCCCCTTGGCCTTCTCCGAGTCAAAGTCAAGGCTCATCACTGGCTCCTGATGGCAAGCAAGTTGGCTCAATGCTTTTCCCATTGACAAATTCCAAAGGACCACTGATCCATCTTCATAGCCAGCCAGAAGCAAAGGTTGTGAATCACTGCTGAGCTGATTGAGGGAAAAGTAAAATTGTTTGAAAAGTAAACAGTCTGTTGGGAAAATGACTGTCCCCATTTCAGTCCAAACACCAAGAAAATAAATGGAAATGCTGACTGGTGAACAAGTGAAAAATTTACAAGTCTGAATGTCAAAGCTTCATAGTCCACCCGTTTACACAAAGTGTTACTAACTGCTGACGTGCACCTATTTTTATATCTACACATAAAGTCTATGTATATATATATACATATATATATGTATCTAACATGGACATATATACACACACACACACAGAGAAAACTTCTCTCTGCAAATCCAAACTGTTGACATCTACAGCACCTGAAGAAAGGCTGCCTGAAGTTTCCAGCAGCTTTCCTTCGTGGCCTGAACTTTCTGCTCCTTAAAAAAATTCCTAGAGCAAGTGAGTTACTATCAAGCTATACAAACCCGCATGGACACTGAAAGAAGTGCCATGCCCAAAGATTCCAGTTTCACACTGCCAAGTGTAGGGTTACACATAGGGATCAATTACCCAGTGCTTCAAGGTAAACACTGAGCCTCCCGTAAGGAATCTCAGGGTGAGTCACCAAGGGGTTAACAGGCGCCCGAGTCCCACTGTAACCAATTGAGAGCTATTTTGATTAATGATGTCACAGGCCAAGGGCCATGGCACCCTGGGCAGACACCTAATTTATTTAAGCCTCTGAAATAACTCAAAGAAGGGAACATTACTGGATTACATGTCACACTTAAGGAAAATATTCATCATTGCTCCAGCCAAAAGACTAATGACCCCGTAAGCAGTAACTGGGTATGTGAGTGAAGATGCAAATCCCTGATGCAAAGCAACTACAAAACAGGCATCTGCTAATGCCAGCTATCTCTTTGGTACGAGATGAAACACCAAAAACAAACACTGGGATTACAACCACCGCATGCAGGCACGTCTAAGAAATGTATCCAGGTTATTCAGCTCTTTCCAAACACTCTTAGATCCTTCAGGATATGTTTACTTCGTATTCAATTCAAAATTACGTGTAAGGACATTTATAAAGACTTGCCTTTTACTGGTATTGCATTACTGAATGAAGTTCTTCAAACCAGCTGGCTGTCAATGGCAGGATACCAGCCTGCAGTGGCCAAAGGCTCAATGCTTCTATTAATGGTCCAGACAATTCTTCCACTGGTTACTATTTGTTCTAGGGGTAGTTAAACTAACAAGAGATGGGTGGTCTGGGTAACAGGACTTCTGAGTAAAAGCCTCATGTTCTTTCCTCAGATTTATTCAGCCTTAAGAAGGGTTTAAATGAGGAATGGATCTCACTGTGTGGAGAAGAAAACTGCCTCTTAGAAGAAGGAAAAGCAAAGGGAAATCCCCTTTATCACCCTTCTGAACTGGGATCCTGCAGGAGCCTCATTCTTTGCTTTAAGATCCCTTTTCTTTTGAGAAGGCCGGGAACATGCTCTGGGTAGGAAGGCCCACAGAAAAGGTCTCCTGTAGTGCCCAGAACTGTGCATGATTCCTCTGTCAATTTTTTTTATTTGCTAAAATAATAAAACATGAGAGCAATGAATGTATGTCAATACATATGAGTTAAACCATCAGGGTTAAAACTTGAACAGAGGAAGTTTAGATTGGATATAAGGAAGAAATTCTTTCCTGTAAGGCTGGTGAGGCACTGGAATGGGTTGCCCAGGGAGGTTGTGAATGCTCCATCCCTGGCAGTGTTGAAGACCAGGCTGGACAGAGCCTGGGGTGAGATGGTTTAGTGCGAGGTGTCCCTGCCCATGGCAGGGGGGTTGGAACTGGATGATCTTAAGGTCCTTTCCAACCCTAACTATTCTATGATTCTATGATTTTGGGTGAAGAGTACCTGGGTTTTGAAGTTAAAAAAATAAATCTGAATGATAAAAACATTCCAGGTTTAATTTATATTCAGTAAAGGGTAAACCTTCAAAGCAAAACAAAGTCATACCCCATCCACCCCCCCTTATTTGTACTGCTCTTCTATGAGCACAGGACTCCAGAGCCCTGCGGCTCTACAGCAGATAGAGCTTCCATTAGCCAACACCACAAGATATGGGTGGGCAGGGTCAGCTCCTCTGCTTTACTCAGCACCAGACAGCAGATTTTCATAGGTGCTCATAACCCTCATTAAGACAAGAGTGAGTGCTCAGTGTTATGGGAAAAGCAAAGCAAAACCTTTTGTTGTTGGGTTTTTTGGTGCTGTGGGTATCTTAGCTTAGATTTGAAACCCAGTAACTTGGAAGTGAGATTTAAGATTGGCCTATTTTGAAAGCAAAGTATTGTTTTCTATGAACTGAAGGTTGCTACTTCTTCCCAAGTTTTCCTAACTGTATGAAGTGTAGTATTTTGATAAGTACATGTACTTGAACTTAAACAATAAAGGCCATTGCAAGATGAGGGAACCTCTCAAGCTGATGCCTGGATTCATCAGGCAGTGCTTTCACAACAGCCTGTTTATTTCAGTTCCTAATAACGGACACTTCTGGTGAAAAGTCTTCTCCATTCATGTTCTGTTTCAGTGGAAAAATGAAAATATAAATCATTGTTCCTCCTAAGCAGAACACTTTGTTGTTGCATTTGGATACCTGTCAAGGAAGGAAGAAGAGGTGACGTGCTGTCAGCTCAACAGCAATAATTGCTGTAGTTTATATAAAGTAATAACTCTGCATTTCCAGTTTCTACATGTATTATTCCTGTTGCATTTTTTTTTGCACCGTTACGCAACATGATGCCTTCCCCAAGGAGCGCAAAAAATATAAGGGAAGCCTATTCTTACTCCTACAAATCCTGCTCCACCCAGTTAGTAATAGCAGGAAGGTGTGAAGCTGAAGGCACAACATATTTAGGAATACGAACGTTCACAAGGCAAAAACCTGTTGTACAAACATACAATTAAGGACAGACTTTGTAAAATAAGGGGGAAAAGCTTCAAAACAACAAAATAAACAGCCACAGGCTTTTTAACTGCTTAGGTTAAGCCGGTGAGGCTTAATCTACAAGCCTAACCTAAGCCACAATTTCCTTCTGCTCTATAGTAACGTTTCTAATTCATTGTGCTGCTGGTAAGCTGTGGTTTCCCTGGTTCATGGATCTTTGTTTACTGGCATGCAGAACAATATGATACATGGCCATAGCCCGCAGACTCTTGCTGGACAACAACCACAAGCATACTTCCTTCAGACCATTATGTGGCTCTCTCCGTGTCAGCTTCTGTTTCAACTTGTTAATTTACTGTGCCATAAGCAACATCAAATAATCTCTTAGGCAACACGTTGCCCATAGGCGATGGGTTGGGGAGAGCTCATCTCCCGGGTATGTCTATATTGCCCAATACAGTAATGCACAAAGGAATCCTGGATGGCCTCTAAACAGGAAGGGCTTCAGCTGGGTTAGCTCGTGTTCCTCTGCTTTTATGGTTACACGGTTACTCAGTGTGCCGCTTCCAGTGAAACCACAGAACAGAATGCAGAGCATCACTCTGGTACACCACAAGCAATTATTTGCCCTTAAGAGTATTCTCCTCCCACACACTTTTAAACCGAGTTGCACTCATTTGTAAAAGAGCATGCCCTGCTGTGAGACTGTGAGGGATTATCTGCCCTGGCCTGCTGCAGTCTAGGAAGCTGCGGTGACTTTCCAAAGCTAGAATTTGCATGGAATAATTTACCTCTTCCCAGTTCCCTGCTTTATCCCCATTGGCAACAAAATTAAAACCTACATAAAATTAAGACTCTGCACCTGCTCCGCTTCCTAGAGGAATAGCAATATTAGTGCATGTAGAAAACATGGCAAGAGAGAGAACTTCTTATAAAGGCAACAAAATTTTCAACACTGATCATTTCCTCAGTTATCTTCACCTTATTAAAAAATGTCCAGGAGACAGAAAGCCCCATTCATTTCACTGAGCACTGAACACTGATTGCATTTTTAGGAGAAACTTTCTGTTTAATAAAAGCCTAATCAGTCTATTTCATTTTCTTTCCCAGTTTTTAATTACAGCATTACAGGGACTTGAACTGTGGCCTCTCCTAGTTTTGTCTGAATTCCTCCTGACTTCAGTCACACCAGGACCTTGAATGAGGACACCAAGGCCTCAAATTCACAACTGATTGATAACTTTTTCAACTGAAACCAGTATAAATGTTCAGACGAACCTGCAGGAACAACATACCTGATATCAGCTCGGATGGCAGTGCACTCCTGTAACAGTATGTGGTTGGGACTCAGCCAACTGATTAAACTGGGAATCAGCTTTGCCACCAATTCTCCTGCAATTTAGAGCCAATCACCTAAGCTCCTTCCTCCCTCTACTGCCACCTTTTTGTATTACGTGGCTTTCATTGCAGGCACCCCATAAACATGATGGGCTGATTCTCTACAAATACGTTTAGGGTTTTATTTTTTTCCACTAACTGCTTTTATTTACCTTTTGTCCAAAGTCAAAGCTACCATAAATACTGTTCCTATTGTATGCCTGGAATAGAAATGTTCATAGAGTGCTTCCTTGTCCTGAGGGCATTGAAGTGAATGTAACCTGCCATTAAAATCAGTGTTTTTAAGTAACCCAATCATTTCTCATCGTTCTTAATGCAGTGAGAAACCATATCAAACAACTAGTTTTGGTAAGTCACTCATTTTCCTCTTGATTGATGCAAAAACCGTATCTATCCTAAGGATACAAAGGTTTTCCTGAGCATTTGCAAATCTTCCATTAAAGCTTGGAAAGCTCTGAAAGTTACATTAAGGATGTTCACAAATCTTTCCCCCCTTTAATAGTATAATTACTTGATTGGTTTGATAATAAATCAAAATCCAAGTGAAGAAAGATTCATGTGCTTCATATAAAATGAATCACAGGGAAAACATTTCACAATTAGCAGGCACTCTTGCCTTACCTGCCATAACTTCAGACACATGGGCATGCCCAGCTTGGCACCCACCTCTGGCTTCAAGGTACAGACTGACGTCTTGGATGGCAGCTCCAAAACCTGAACCTGACATCAGGAAAACAAGAGTATTTGGTCCAGCTCCAGGTCAAAATTCTGCTGTTAAAAACACAAGTCTTTTAAGGTGATTAAGGTTAGTATTAAGCTCTTCCAGTAAAAACTGTCTGGAGGAAACAGGAATGCATGTTAAGTTGGAATTGTAGGGGAATCTACAGCTATCTAAATACAGTCATTGTTTTAGGAAAGACCAGACAAAACTGCTGGAATGAACACATCCTCTTCTTTCCCCCTTCTAGTTAATTTGTGTTAGTGTTCTTTCTGTACAGTAGATGATATTGTGCATACAGTAGATGATATTGCAGACTGCTTCATCTGAAAACACTCCCCCAATTCCTTTCCCTTGCCCTTTTTTCCATCTCTGTGGCTAATTATTTGTTATGTTTGCTCGTGGACACTTGCACTGTCTCCTCTGTTCTGTCATGGTAACACACAGCTTGCATGGGCACTATGGATATATCAAAGGTGGATTTTTTATTTACTAGCTGACTGTGCTAACAAATGTAAACCAGAATTTGCTAATGCAGGCTGGAGCAGGGATGGCACACACGTATGTTCAACGCAACACTGTCTGACCCCGCTCTGAACAGGGGGTCAGACAATGTTGTGTTAAACACCTGCTCTCTGTCTACTCAGCAGCTTCCACTGTTACTTGCACTGATGGTAATGAATTATGGATCATCTTTTTTCTTTTTTTAGCATTGGGCATGTCTTTCTCCTGCCAAGGAAGTAGCTCATTTCCACCCCAGGATGACGGCAGGCAAGATCAGGGGAGCCTGCCTTTGCAATTTGGCACGGGAAGGTTTCGAGTCTCTTGATTGACACAGCACTGTCTCACTATGGCTGATTCTCCAGCCTCGAACTATGGAGAAATAGAAGTTCTTAGGTATCAAAAGCTTGCTGCCAGGAGCATTGCTGTTTCTCACAAGCATACTGAATCACTAAGGTGATCTTTTATTTTAGTTAAATAAACAATGGTCTGCATTATCTCATAAAATTAAAGGACTTAAAACATTTTATAAACGCAGCACCAGCAGCCATTCTGGGCTATTTCAGAATGTGCAAAAGCCCAACAGTGCTGTTGGACAGCCCCAGTCACGCGAATTTCCTTAAGCATCTGAGATGAGGTATTAGACAAATATGGCTCCTCTGGGAGCCATCAGTCAGGACCACGGCAGCTGCAATGGCTTTCCAATCCCATACCTTTATTTCAAAGCTTGCCAGAACATCTTCCTATTTCTAGGGGTTGTCAGCTAGCCTGCCAAAAGCCAGCTGCACTCTAGGAGTGCAAGTCGATAAACACAATATACACTTCCTAAAGCCACTTAGCGATGGGGCAGGAAACTATCCTCCAGATTTGAGGAATGGAGGCTGCAGCGAAGATGTAGACCAAAACTATGAACAGACCAAAGTTTAATCATCTGGGAATTCTGTTCTTCGGAGCTACACTCTTAACAAAAGATGCTTTTCTCTTGGCAACTTTCTTGCTATCAACATAATGACCAAGTTAGCTATTGCAGGAAATGGGCTATAAATATGGTGTCCTGCTCTCATCTTACATCTTTCATCACTGGCCCTCCAAAGGGCATTGCCTCGAAGACAACACTGAAACTGTAACTTTTACATAATAAGGAAGGATAAGTGTTCTCTGATAAACACAAGTCTGTGGGTTAAAAGAAAAAAATCCCATCTCCTTCACTTTACCTTGATTAGAAATGGACAAACTGGTATAAGGGCTTCAGCTGGGCTTGCGAAGGACAAAGAAAAGCACAAAGATGAGAAAAGCTTTCTGCAGAAGGCCAGCAGGCATGAGCTGCCTGTGTTAGATTGACAGTTCCAGAGACTGTCTGCATTAGAGGCAACTGAGCCTTAGAAATAAATACTATTTCATATATTTTGACAACTGTAACCTAAAACTTGAAGTTCTGTGTTTATATTGGTTTTGCTTAATAGGAGAAAGATTTGCCTTTGCCTGAGGTTAATAGTGTTCCTGGGTGGCTAAAACTGGCCACAAGGAAACACACCCTTTTTCTTTTTCACATTAATAAAGCTTTTAACATGTTTCTGGCAAAGTGGCAAGAAAAGTGCATGTAACTCATAATTGGTGATTTAAATGCAATCATGAACAAATAAATGCCTGTTCAGATCTCATTATTTATGGACTGAACCTGCTTTAAGACAAAATTACTCTTTTTTTGGGCACCAGCCAAGCATAAACACTTATTAAGTCTTAATTTTAATCATAAGCTGCAAATGTACTGTGTCTCACACAGTGCTGCCTATTTGGAAGCACTATATATTATAGGAGCTTATGTGAATGTCTTGAAACCCGACACAGTTCTAATGCAAAGGTTCATACATGGAGTGGAACTCTTACCTCAGGAGACAGCAAATCATTATCAGTTTGCAGGGCCCAAGGACAGAAATGAAAATAAAACAGAGATGAGTTGTAAGAGACTTTGGGGTGAACGCCTGCTCTTTGGATCAGGTGGTTATTCAGTTGTTCATTACCAGAATGTGTGTGTTTGTACTCTCTGCCTGACACAAAACCTCTTCTCTGGCTGACACAAGAACGCACTTGTCAGGTTGTTTTTTCAACTGAGGTATTACTGAGCACTGCTGTAAAATGGAGAGAGGCCTTTGTTTGATCAGAACAAGGTACGGGAATGGTTGTATTTACTGGTACAGTGGTTGTATCTACAGGCTTGGTCAGTTCTGTAAAAGGCAGAACATTCTGGCGGTCAGCCAACAAAGTACTTAAATATGTGCTTAACTTCTGAATAATAAAAAATTCACTTTTTCTTACAATACAGGCACCATTCCCACTTATTACTTCATCTATAAAATACGCAACTTTCAGTTTCAAGATACGTATCCCATAGTTCAGAAAAGCATCTGACCTTGCAATTAGCAACAATATTTCTTTTCATATTTATGCCACTTTTTATTTTTTCATTTTTTTGGTATTTTGATGTCAAGTATTTGAAATAATTAATTTTTGTGTGATGTCCTCAAATAGTCCTTCAAAGAAAACAAAAATACGATTTCTCCAAAGCAGAAGAGGAAACTGACAACAAAGCTGTCAGTCAGTGATTCTGTGATAATGGGTTTTAGACGTGGACTTACCCAGTAGGAACTGAAAGGGACCCTACAATTATCTCATACTGAGCAAACCTCTGGCTGCTAATAGTGATTCAACTATTTCCAGCCAAGGTACCAGTTAAAGAATTAGCCTGGGGTGAAAGACCACGCATTGCATTACAAATCACCTACACCTCCCCTCCTCTCACCAAACACGACTTTCAGCTTCAGATGGAGGATGAGTACCTCCACCTGATGACAGACTTTCTGACCATTAGTTCCCACAAGGACTCTTGTTCCCCTTCAACAGTATTGAGCAGCACCAGAAGAGTTTTAAAAACTCCTGCACATGAAAGATCAGCAGCAGCTGCAAATACTTACATGTTAGACAATCTTGGGGTGGTATCCTTGTTATCAGAGCTTGAGTTATAGAATTCAGTCATCTTTCTGGCAGGTAAAATTAGTGACTAGGACCCCCAAAGGCTCCTTGCTCTGCCCTCTCTTCAGCAGAGAACTTGAGAATAGTGAAGTTTCCCCTTCTCAACTATCTCCTTTCAAAACCAAAAGCAATCTCTCAGAAAAAAAGGTACTTCCTACCTCCTCGAGGGCTTTGGCTGCCATGGCCATTAGCCAGCGTCCCTGTGCCACCATTAACAAAGAGCATCTGCAGAATCCCACATTCTCCGTAAAGACAGAATCCATCACTGAAGTCCGTCCTTCTTCCAAATCCCACAAGCAGATCCTCTGGTCACGACCCTGACTGTTACAGTAAAACAAGTTATCCATGAGCAGCAGGTCTGAGAAAGCCTGGCTCCTGCAGGCTAGTATCTCAAAGTAGGGTCTTTAACATGCAGCGAAGGAGTGAGCTTTGTACAGCTTCTGTGGGGTACTGACAGGGTCTTCCATGAAACATCTGGGAACCACCGAGACAACCACCCTTCTGCTGGCTGCACAACTGGCCAGTAGGTTCAGAAGTTCCTAGGAGGAGGAAGGGCCTGAGGGGGAGTCAGGTACCCTGCAGTCACAGCTAGCCACGTTTCCTTGTAAAAAGGGACCTGATCAAACACAGTTATGCTGTTTATATGTGTGTGTGTATTTCTGAAGTTTCATGACTATTTGAGCATATTCATCATAAATGGTAAAGTGTAAGTATTTTTATTAGAGCTAATCTAAAGGAAACAAAAATATCCAGAGAGTAACACATTCAACACTTTCACCCTAGCAATGAAGTAGAAATGTCAGGTATGTTGACATCTGAAAGACAAATAGCCAGACAACAAAGACCGCATCAAAGATAAATAAAAGGCTACAGTTACACAACAGTCAACTTCCCACAGCCACAGGGAGAGCACAGAAGGCTTACAGCTCTGTGTGTGTGGTGACACAAGAGAGGTACTGCTGGTGCAGTGAGTAGCAGGAATTAAACAATGAAACACCGTGGTTAAAATATTCAAAACCAGAGAACCAGCATCTGCATCACTGCCTCGCCACAGCAGCTCACAGACTCCTCTGCACACCTCTGTCCCACCCAAAAGTCTGTGTGCTGCTCCCAGACAGTAAAAGCAGACAGAGGGCACAGCATTAATTGCTACAGATTTACATGATCCCACTGCCCCTGAAACAAAGCTTCCAGTCCACAACCTATAGTAGCACAGGATACGTGTCCTTATATTATCACCTGGGACAAGGAGTCATGAAAAATCCCTTACCCATTTCTTGTTTTAATTAGCAGTATCACCTTGTGGAAGTATGAAACCAAAACAGAGGTAGATGCAAATCTACAGACTGTTGAGACGACTTCAACAACAATACAGAAACTCCCACCTGCTGTTCAGCTGAGTGACAGACTGTCCAAATATCTATAGCACTGGGCATACAAACAATGGGGTACTGCAAGGAACTGTTGTGATTCAGCTTTTGAACAGAAAAAGTACAGACAACTGCTGTCCTAAAATTGCACTGCTATGTGAACTGTTATACAGCAAAAATAGAGGTATGGAAAAACTCTATAATTATACAAACAGTGCTCATTCACTATGATTTTATGGGGGAGAGAGAGTGTTGATAATTGTACTTAAGCAGATAACAAATATAAATGCTAATGAGTTCCACTGTATATTATAAGAGATGTCGTCTCCAGATAAACATGTCAGAACACCTCCTAGTCATACAGACACTTTGGCATCTATTCTAGATCACCTGTCTAATCCAAAGTACACAGATCTTCTCCTTCCCTTGCTAAACAAGAACAGAAGATATTTTGCAACAAAGCAAAGGCATACAACTCAGCATTCTTGCTCATTTTCAGTCTTCCATTCTCCATCTCTGATTCTTCTCTTCCTTACCTTTTCTCCCTCTCCCATTTATAACCTCTGTATATAAATTTTGATCTTGCCCGAGAACCAGTTGTGAAGCACCTGTCAACTTCAAATCCAATTGTATTTCCTTTACCCAGAGACCTCACCTGATCCCAGAGCAGTAATAAAGCCACTATGGACCCCAATTGTCATGATGTCATCACGTGTACATCATAAAGAAATTAATCACATCATTTTTTCCACTTTTTGTTCTACAGTTTTCCCTGTATTTTTGTACTTTTCTACGTTTCCTTAAGCACTGGAGAGACTTCCACTGACTCCACAAATAAAAGATTCCTTTTTTTCCCCCCTTTCCACCCCACCGCTTCAATCACATACAGCACAGAGACAAGAGTATTTTCACCGGGTTTTGTCTGCTTTGCTTTGCTAACCTGAGGAGCCTGTTTTTACCGCCCATTGTCTCCACACAGTAGACAGATTTTCTCCCATGGCCATCCAGCGCCGTGTCCACTCTGTGTGTTTTCAGGTTCCAGACATGGATAAGCCCATTCTCAGACCTGGCAGTAAGAACAGATGCTTTCAGTGAGGCCTCTGTCTGATAAGACAGTCTGATAATTTTGATATTTTTTTCCTAAAGCTGAAGCTGTATGTACAAAGGTAATACCCTCCTCAGTCACAAACCAGGTATTTCGTTGTTTTCTCCAGATACAATGTATTATCTAGACAAATTGTGGATTAAACAGAAATGTCCATATGATGTTCAACTCGGCCAGAAATCCAGGTTTACCTACCCAGAGAAAAGAACAGGGACATCGGGCTCCTGGCCTCCACAGGAGAAATGCAGAGTGTGGACTGCAGCACTGGTACCTCTGAGAACAAACTGTGGATCTGGAGGTGGCAGAGCCATCTGAGTGATGAGCTGGGGGAGTGAGAAGATGACACAGATGTCACACAGGGTAAGGCAGCCTAAACTGAAATGACAACTTTAAATATATACTGATCAGGACATTTGGTTTTCCTAGTCACTTCCCTCTCTCAGTTATCATTATTGGATGTTATTTCTATTTCCATGCAGTGCAGTGCAATAAGAAAGTATTTCCTCTTGACATTGACTCATCAAGCAGCTGTCAAATCTGCTTTTTGCTGCATTCCTTTTTAAGCAAGTTAAGTGCTGAGCTGGCCATGTGCACACACCTCGCACACACTTGGAAATACTAAATTGTTCAGCTCTTTTCCCTGCCACAAAAAGGAAGAGCTGCAAAATGCAAGAAACTGGATACCCATAATTTGAGCGGGCAAGCAATTTATCATTCCACTTAGCCCCTTGGCAAGTCTTTCCCCTTCCTCCCCATAAAAGTACTACTTCTGCATTTTCCACTCACAACCATTTACAGACAAACACTGCAGTGAATATATGAGCTGAAAAGCATTTCAGGTGAGATTAGTTAATGATCATTTTTATACAAGAATCCCATCACTTCCAAATGCTGGAGTTTTTTGTTCCAAGCATGGTTACTTGAAAAAAAAAAACAAACCCCCTCAGTAATTCACACTAACTTCGTGACTATTGTGTTAAATACTTTATTCCAAGGGGGTTGTATTCCCCAAAAGATCAATAGAGAGAGATGGATGCTTTCAGCTTTATGTGATTAGTTCAGTTGTGATCTGAGTCAGCACAGAACAGGGCAAGTGTGCAGGAAATCATGGTGCCCTGTCTACGATGGGAAATGTAAAGGAAAATTGATCATAAACTCCCAGGGATAGTTGGTGTGACGCAGGTAAGTACACTCACTGATCTGGCACTTTTCCCAAGTATTCCCACTCACATTAGCACAGGCAGTTTGCAGGACAAGGACAACTTTCCTGTGTTCTGACCTGCTGCAAGTGCCCCTCCAGACCTGTGCTGGGACAAGGTAACCAGCAGCTTCTTTGACTGTAAGTACAATGTGCAATTCATTGGAAAATGCATCGTAACATGCATTACAAGAAATATTTTCACCATGAAAAGTTTTTACTGTTTTATCTGCGACTAGCCATGCTTGTATTTCTGCTTCTTTCTTGCTGACCTGACCTCATACAGAAAAGGACAGCTTTTACCATTATAGATGTCACCAGTCTTTCCCATTCATGCATATTTAACCCTGGATTAAAGAAAAAGGTTTCTAAATTCAGTAAGGGATGATCAGCAGCTGTTTCTCTGCCTGCTGGTTCACAGCAGAGGAATTGCAGATGATTGCAGCAAAGTGCTAAAGCTAAAAGTCAAATGGCAAATTAAAACAACTCAACTTTTGTCATCTCACTTTAGTATCAGCTTTTGAATTTTGTTTAATGGATGCACTTGCTATGGCACCTCATCTGCAGGTCTACCCTGGGTGTTTATAGATCAGTAATCACCATGGTATCTGTAAGTCCTAATTAAACACAATTATCTTTTAGGACAGGTGATGAAATGGGATTCTTCAGCATAATGCTCAGTTCTCCCTCAATAGCACTGTATAATTAGGTATGAAAATAATGAGATCAGTGGATATCCTCCTTGTTTTAGTGCCCTGACTCATTTGGTTTATGATGTTGTCTGATGATCTAGCATCTTGACAGGCTGGAGTAAATTTTCAGGTGATTACACGATGTACAAGTTCTCCCCCATAGTGCGATCCAGCTCCTGACTGCCCGTCTGTAACGTTTCACTTCTGTTGTAAACCTGTTAGACTAGGGATTTTGTCACTAAAGCCACCTCTTTGGGACACTACAGCTGTATGCTATTGCTCTCAAAAGGTCACTCTGTAGAACCATGCAAATATAACAGCAGCCGGGCAGCTTGTCACAGGAGTGAGGTCCCTCTTCACAGTGCAACGATCGTGGGTTACTACACTGAGCAAGGAAGACAAAATAGAACTGAGTCAACCCAGAGGCTATCTGGGATTACAAGGCAGGTTTTTAATAGCATTTTTCTAATTACTGACACACAAGTTTTTGATGACAGACAGCAAGTGTGTGCGTGGCTGTGGGAAGGGTTTTACCTGGCATGAAACAGACGCTACTAATGCATGTCTTTACAAGGATGATATTTCAGAAAAATTCTCAGGCTGGATACAGGAACAAAACATGACTACTGACAACACACTTGCAAGCTGTAAGCACATGAAGTGATGTTTTCCCCCTTGGAGCCTGGTTCTTTGCTTACTTTTTTGCTAATCAGACATGTGAATCTGGAAATTGGGCTTAATATTGAACCTATGTCATTTTTTATTGGGGTTATGAGATGATTCCTTATTAAATTCCTATTGTGACTCAGGAGATGAATGGCAGTGTGACAGTATTAAGCATCTCATTTTTCTTCCAGCAAGTGCTGAACTATAAAACTGCATCTGTGCTATTTTCTTTATCCATGCGCATGGACAAGTCACTTAAGACCAAGATTTAATTAAAAGTTCTTATGTACCTAAATCAAGAGGAAGTCCCATGAATCACAAACAGATGGAAATTTGGTGCACTGGTGCCTTAAAAACTCCAGGAAAGTATCCCTCTGTTCCTGCTGACACTTCAGCATCCTCACAAAAATGACATTTAGCCTACCTTGAACTCACCAGGTAGCTCACTATCTTTACTTACAGGGATAATGAAGTACATTGTGGTATACTGATACTAACAGACAATGGCTATACCATGCTTTGCTAAGCGGACAGCTACAAACATGCTAAATCTGATGACTGTGGGATGGATAAAGCCCCTGGGTATACTTTTCAGAAGCACCTAAGTGATTTAGAAGCCTAAGACTCATTTTCAAATGAATTTTCAACCCTAAATCTCTAGGACTTTTAAAAGTTTCACCCCAGGTGTCTGAAAATGAGTTCTCTAATTAGCACAACACTTATTTTCTTGTTAACTCCATCTCGCCTCAGGGGGACCAATCTGTTCTTGCTAAGTGAGGATATCTGTAGCAAATTTAATTAAGTGAATTTGCTTAGTATATAGGCTGGTCTGAGAGCACAATCTGGCTCAAGGGCTTGCACAAGCAAAGACCAACCTGTACAAGAAACTTCATTTAAGAGTCTCAGGGCCAGACTACTACCTGAGATATCCTCATGCTATGACTCCTGCCTCCTGTGGAAATATGTTAAAAAATAAGAACCATTTTGCTTACAGCATTGTTTGTTTGCAAGAGGGTATCACCAGTAAGAGATGCAACACCTCATCATCATGCTCTTGTTTTTAAAAGATGTTTCATTTCTTCCAGCCTTCCCTGTGCTGGTAACAGCATCCTCCTTCAGGGGCTGCGCTACACTCCCATATGCTACAGGCTACTAGAAATATTTTTCACAGGGTGCACTACAAACCCCTGTGCTCCTGCACAGATTATATTTGCTGTGTGAGTAAGGGGTGGAAACCCCAGCTGCTCAGATCAGTGTTTCAGTTAGCAAACAGCTATGCACAGCACACATAGGTACCAAAAAGGGCTTTTCTAGAAAAAAAAAAAGTTTCTACTAAATGCCAGAACAACTGAATTTCCTTCAAAATTACATTATTTGAAGGTACTGTTCATTATTAATATCCCTCACAAAACCTACTTTGTTTAGGCTGCAATTAGGATAATCTTCAAACCGTCTGAATTTCTATGCAGTGGTATTCCAGTATCATCACTTCAACATTTGATGTAAGCTTTTATTTAATGAGAGTCATTTCAAATATGTAAATGTCAAAAGGATTACCTTAGGAAAATCTCTCAGAGAATTAAAAACATTAACAGATTCCCACAGGAAAAATTCCAGCAGAATTCAGCAACTCTCCTGTTCCCACTCCTGTCATTTGTATTTCTATCACATATCGAAGCAAAACCAAATTGCTATTAAAATATCACCCAAACACTCACCTCCCCCTACAAACGCCACAGTTCAGTTTGAGATACCAATGGCTCAAGCAAAGACAAGAAAAAATCCTCTCCTTTTTTTCTTTAGGCTTATTTAGAGTAGTAAAAACTCAGTGGTAAAAGAGCTTTTCAGGTATAGGAGAAATAAATCTCTCTAGGCATGTCTGGCAAACTGATTTGGGACTGAAACCAGCAGGTGTGCAGACATAATTACTACTGCAAAATGTTCAACACATCCAGGTGTGCTCACAAATAGATATATGAAATCCCTGTTATTTTTTGAAAATTCCTAGTCTACCAGGTGCCACTCTCCCAAAGGAGAAATCAGAGCAAAGAATGAGAGAGAAAGATGTGAATGAATTGTTCTTCCCCCTTTTCATTCATACAAAAGGCCTTTTTCAGCCTGCACTTCTGTGCCTACCTGCACTCACTCAAGTTCTGTGACACTCTGCCCCGCTGCACAGCATAGCTCTAGTGCATGAGTGTTTTGAAGTGGGTCACTAGCTTCAACTGCAGAGATTACCTCAAATTATTAGTGCAGTACAAACAAATTTGTTTATTCCATTTCATTCATAATCTCCAGCATTAAAATACAGCAGGCAGCCCTTGCAGTATGAGCTTTCCAAACACAGTTTTCACAGGTCCAGCCACTGCAGACAGCTGGGTTTCATAGCAGTGAAACTGAAATATACTCTGCCCAAGGAACACCCTTAAAACATGGCTGCCTGTGAATACCGTGGCCCTTCCTCATGCAGCAAGCTACGCCCAGCTGGTGTGTTAGTTGCCCGAGTAGCAAAGACAGATCAGGAGGGTCCCAAACAGCACCCAATTCATCTCACTGAATTATGCCAGAACTCAGCAGGACTTGGAACCACCTTAGACATCCCTGGTTGACACAGAATGCTGCCTGGTTACATGGCACTTCAAGAAGTGGAGAACAAGAACCCATTTATGAGTAGCATTTCCATGCATAATTAAAAGAGGTGCCAGACAATGAGTTCAAGTGCACTTCACTTGATGGCAAAAGTGAAGTTTTATAGGCTACTGACTAT